GAGAAATACGTAGATGATTAATGCTTTAAATGAAGATTGTCTCAAGCTGAGAATGTGCTGTATGTTCAGTAACATGTACTGACAGGAGGGACAAGGGCACAGCGTGAACCTGAGATCCTCTCGGCCTTCCCAGCAGCTCAGCAGGTGCTGAGAGTCCTGTGCCGACCTAGTGCATGCACGCGTCTTCTTCCTGTCCGAAGTGTGGCCCTGGCGTCCACGTAGGGTTTTGAGAGTATGCTCTTGCCCCTTCTCACGTGAGGCAGGAGGAGAACAGTAACTGGAAGAAATTTTGTGCTTGTTTCCAAAGTATGTTTTGTACAGTATTGATTGTATACATTGCTAATGCCAGTAGATAGTACACAGGATAAGAGCAATTCTAGGGTTAAATGGGGTTGCGCGGCACAGGGTTAAGTGCTGTTAAGTTGCTTCTTTCTTGGAGGGCTTTGAGAACTTTGTCATTGGCAGTGTGCTTTCTGAATTCCTAAGAGGGGGAAGGATCTACAAAGATCTGCAAGTGTCACAGTGTAGGCTAAACATACATGAACAGTACATATTGTTGCTCCCATGCTGATAGACAAGGACAGCTTATACTGTATTTTATGCTTTCTTCAGATTTAGTTGCTTTAATTTTAAAGGTACCTCTGAAAACTATTGGAGATTAACAAAATATTGAGTGTATAATTTGAAAATGCCTTTAAAGTACTGCTTAAAAATAAGGTCATCCCACTCATCTTCCTGTTGCAGGCTTACTGTATGCAGTCTCTTCAGCTTTTCATCAGAGAACCTTTTCCTTACGGGTTCTTCACAAGGGCTGAGCTGTGCAGTACACTGTGGGAGCCACAGGGCTGTCCTTGGGGTACCCTTCACTTTGCTGATCGCTGTGATGCACTGCTGTCATACCAGGACCCTGAGTTCCTGGGGCAGGAGAATCGCCAGTCTGAGCCCAGCCTGGGCAACTTAGGGCCTTAACAAAAAAAGTGAAACAAAGAACAAAACAAAACAAAATGGGCTGGAGATGTAACTCTGCAAAGGCCCTGGGTTCAGTACCCAGAGCTGGGAAAAACCTCAATTTGACTACTTCACCAAGTGTTCAGTTTCCATGAAAGCTGCAGGAGAGTTACTTCAGAAGTCTAAGTGTTCAGTTTCCATAAGAGTTGCAGGAGAGCTGCTTCAGAAGTTTGCTGTGTCGTACTCACCATCAGCCTTCGGTTGGTGGTGGTGTCATCCTCACTCCGCCAGTGACTGACTTTGTGGTTCAGCACCAGTTTTTATACAGAATGGAGATAAGTGTAACTTTTTAGGGTTAAGGGTTAAGTCAGATCTTGCGTGTGACACATTTAATGCAGTACCTAATAAATTCAAACAGTTGAGTTGGTCATCAAGGGAACATTTAGGAGGCATGTCTCTCTTACACTTGGAGATGGATGGCTTATCTTTGGGCCTTGCCCTTAATGCTTTGTTAGCATGAGCCGTCTGTCTAGGGACTGCCTTGAAATTTTTTTGGTAAGAAAGCCTTTTGGTTTTGTAGTTTTTTTCTGAACAACCAATGTCTAGGGTACCATAGGTATTCCATTTACTCTAATTGGGTGCTTTTAGGAGCTGGTGTGTACTTCTATTTAGTTGCAAAAATACGTTCTCCGAATCTTTAAGACCTGAAGTGTTTATGGAGAGGCTGCTGATGGTCTCAGATGCTTGTGGGCAGAATCCAGCCAATCCTGAGCCGCTCATAGAAACACACATGCCTGAAATATTTGCCAGGCATCTTGAGACTTATATATCATATTTGTAATAAGGTAGCACCTGAGTTTTACCCATAGTTTCCCTGCAAACTTAGCTGGAATGTGTTAAACAATCTGTTCATCTCTTCTGTAAGCAGAATCAAGGGATAGCTGCTGGCAGAATAGCGAGAGCTTAGTTGAATGAAGTAGTGGTTGAGACAAATTGGTGGCACCCATTAAGACACCTTGGTCACAGCATGTTCTTCCTGTTTTTGTAGGGCAGCACTGCAGACAAAGATTGCCGATTGCCTGTGTATCACAAAGCAGCCAAGGAGTGTATTATTTGTTGAAACTGTACTTTCGATTTGATTTGAAACTGTCTCATTGCTATGTTTATCAATAAAACTTTGAAAAGAAAAAAAAAAACAACAAAGCAGCCAAGGGAGGAAGTGTGGGGGTACAGGGTTGTTTTCAAGAATAAGAATGAGTGGTTTCTCATCAGGAAAATGAGTAAAATAGAGAAGCAATAAAGTTATTAATTTTTACACAGAAATTATGGAATTATAGATTTTTTCTTATAACTACAGATAACAGGAAAATACTGTTTAAACTTTGTTTTTATTTTATTATTGATCTTTTATGCTCTCATTCACATACCGATTTCTGCCCCGTGCCCCCCAGACAGGCCTTGCTTTGTAGTTCAGGCCCAGAACTCACCATGGAGTCCCCACTCACCTTGGCCTCAGGAGATCCTGCCTCAGCCTCCTCAGTGCTGGGATTACAAGTGTGTACCAGCCTATCTGGTTTAGTGCTTAATTTTGTAACTAAAGGAAGCAAGCACAATTGAAGAATAAATGAAATAGACTTAGAGAGATACACATGGGTAGGAAGCCATTTTACGTATTTGAATCTTAACTGCTTAAAACCTTGATTTAAAGTTATATATGTAAGGCCTTGAAAGAAGTCGGTCTCATAGGACTATTGTGTGAACATTTTATATTGGCTTTATGTAAAATTTTTGTGCTGCCTAGTTATTGAGATTCTATAATATGAATAATGAAATTTTAAAATTTACAACTTTAAAATGAAATTACTGTCAGTTTCAAGGGTGATGAATTTTATTCCTGCAAACCTCCTCACAATTGTCTACCTAGTGAAAGTAAGTGTTCACTGAGCTTTGTTACACTGAAAGTAATAGCAGTTTTAAAAAATTGCATCACTTGTCAGCCTTTTGGCTGAGACACAGCTGTCATGATGGCTGCATAGTGTCATACGTTCCTTTCTTTTTGTTGATGAGTGTTTGGGTCATTTCTTTTACAGGTCTGTTACAGATGATACTGGAGTTAACATATTTATGCAAATGGATGATGATGTTTGAATTTTATCTGTTGGGCACATTTCCAAGGATTACGTCACTGAATAAAGAGAAACCTGAATATTTTAATGCTTACTTAAATTTTTGTATTTATTTACCTAAGCATACTTGCATAAACATATTTACCTAAATAGAGATACTTGTTTTATTTTGTTTTCATTTACATTTATTTTACAAATACTTAAGAGTGCTGGTTCTGTGTGCCAGAGAGGCTGGGGGGCTTCCCCTGTGCGGCTTGGGAGCTGCGAGACTTTGTAGCTGCACCTATTTGAGACCACTCTAAGTGGCTCTTTCAAGTAAGGCTTTTGCCTACTTGTAGTCACCCAATACTAGATGATGAAAGTTTTTAAAAAGTAACCAGTTACGTTTACACCCCTTTCTTTTCCCCTCCCTCCAAGCCCACAGTGAACATAATTGTTATATACTACAAATATGTATTAATAAAAATGGAAACAAAAATTAAACCCAATTACGTATTAGAAAAACATGCACAATCACGTATAATAAGAGCATCAGATAGAAATGAGACTTTTTCAGGGTCTCACTGCATAGATGGACTCATAGTGATCCTCCTGTTTTTAGCTTCCCAAGTGCTGAGATTACAGGCATGTGCTACCACGCCCAGTCTCAGTCGCCATCTCAGTGCGCCCCAGGGGGTGGGGCTGGCACTGGCACTGGCATGGCAGGCGGGGGATTGATCCCCCGGCCCTGCGTCTGCCTAAGCAGGCACTTTAATCTATTGAGCTATCTAGCTGGCCTTAGAAATGAGATTTTTATGTGGCTGTCTATAAGATTGAGAAGTAGAATGAGCCTGGCGTGGTGTATGCCTATCATCTCAGCATTCTAGAGGCTGAGGCAGGAAGGTAAGTTCTTTTGAATTCGGCGCAGCCTGGGCAGGCTCCATAGTGAGATGCTATCTAAATGAAAACAAAACAAAAAGTGGATATGAAACTTTCCTATAAATATTTCCTTAAAATAGAAAAAAGCAACCAACTTAATACATAGAAAATGGAATACCTAGTCTATAAAAGTGCTTAATAAGAAGGTTGAATTTTAGAATATAGTTTAAGTAAAAATTTTATTCATTAAAAACCTTTTTTCTCTTAAAATTAGAAATCTAAACAGTAAGAGGTATAACTGTCCTACTAACCTGTTTTGAAACTGTCTCATTGCTATTTGTTTCTCAGTGAAATTAATAAGAATAAAAATAAACAATTTCAAAAACAAAACAGTAAGAGGTAAATTGACTAAGGCAATTGGTAATAGAAATAATAGTTTGGAAGTTCCTAGAATGAATTCCTAGGAACCGTTCATGTTAATTAACTTTGTTTCGTAAAGATGTAACAGTGATATGCTCAATTGTACAGACTCATTACTATTTGAAAGCATTTTTTGTTAATGACTTTTAAAAAAAATTATGTATTTCTCACAGAGTCTCACTCCATAGCTTGTGCTCATAGTGATTCTCTTGCTTCAGCCTCCCCAGTGCTGGGATTACAGGCATGCGCCACCACACCCAGACTCGGTGGCTCATTATGCCCAAGGGGCAGGGTCACCATGGCACTCTGGACTGAACCAGAGTCCTTGCGCTTGCCTAGGCATGTGCTTAGACTACTGAGCTGTCTCCATGGCCCATTAATGACACTTTGTAAAAATACATACTAATTTAAGACAAGTTTTTTCTATTGTAAGAATACTTGCTCACAGTTAAAAATTGCAGATAGTGCAAAGGGTTTAAAAAGTAAAATAAAAAAGTATAATTTTTGTTCTCTGTTATCTCAGTTTGTAGCACAAAATCCTCCTGTATCTTCGTATCTGCCTTTAATAGTCTTAAGAATTATTTAGTATGGAAAAGTCTAACTACTACTTTTTTTTCTTTTTCTCAAAAAAAATCTTTGGTGGTGCAGCTGTGAGTTCCTTGGAATTGTGAATATTCTTTTGAAATACGGAGCCCAGCTAAATGAACTTCATTTGGCAAATTGTCTGCAGTGTGAGAAATTTGCAGTATTTCGCTACTTTTTGAAGAAAGGCTGCCCATTAACACCATGGAACCATATAACTGAATTTATGAAGCATGCAGTTAAAGCACAAAGGAGATACAAGGAGTGGTTGCCACATCTTCTGCTTGCGGGGTTCGACCCGCTGACTCTGCTCTGCAGCTCTTGGTAAGCATGCTGCCGTCACAGGCCTGTGCCTTCTGAGGGCTGCACCACCTGAATTCCCCCAGTTGCTTCGCGTGTGTGGGAGGAGGGTGTGTGGCCGAATGGGGGTGGTCATAGGCCGAAGCGTGCACCTTTTGCCTAGTGAAAGCTCTTAAACACCGTGTAATGACAGAGGGTAGCAAGGTAGGGGGGCGGGATGCTGCCAGAGAAGCTCTCTTCACATGAAGGAGCACCACCAGGTGCCAGGAAGAGCCCACAGACCCGGTTGCGACTCTCGCCCCCGGCTGCCACCTGTGGTGCCCGCCCTGCGCCTGACACTGCTCGCTGGCTCCAGGGCTCCTCCAAACAGACTTAACCCCCATGATCCTTTCCAGTTTCTGACTTGATCAGAGCTTAAAGTTACAGCCTGATACTACTAGTCAGAGCTGTTTTATCAAATGGTACAGGTACAAGTTTACCCTTATTTTAGAGAGGTGGGGTTTGAGGCCAGATAGCCCACATTCTTGCCCAAGTTCTCAGAGCAGGTAAAGGTAGTGCCAGAGCTCAGGCTGCCCTGCAGTGTGGCTCCAGTCTTGAGTTCTTAACCACTGTGCCTGACATGTCCAGAGGGCCCTGTAGTTGTGCCACTTGATTTTACGTAGCTTAATTCCTCCCCAAACTTGAGAGGATCTGTGCTGACTTCTTTGTTCTTTCCTGCTTCTAAATTAGGAAAAACCGCAGGAGAAAAGAAACATTTCATCTTTTTCCTTTCCTCTCCAGCCAACTAAGTAGACTGCCTGTAGGAGAGAAACTTTATTTGTTTAGAAGGTGTCTTAAAATACACTCTTTTCGCCCCAGTGCTGGTGCAGTCTCTTACCCCAAGTGTGAATAGCTGAAGATTTTTGTGGTAATGAGCTACTGCATGTGTTGTAGTAAGAAATAGTTAAGAGCCAAATAAATTATGTTATCCTAAAGTATGTTGTAAAACTTTCAGCTTTCTGAATCCAGAATGCCAATTTGCATATATTTTATTACTAAGGAAGAACTTAATCATTTTATATTCCTTAGAAAATATATAGTGGAAAATTCCATTTCAGAAGGTGCTTAACATGGTCAAAGTTTTGTTCACTGATCTTTTATTGAATGGGTAAAGCGAGTGTTTACATTGAATGTGATGAATGTTTTGCTTTCGTTGATCAAATTTACATTCAGAGAGGTGTTATAAGAAAAATTCTCCATAAAAATTTCAGTATCTTGCTCAAGTGTATTTTGGTTGTTTCTTATTTATATTGCATGTGAGTCTGCTGTTTAATCTTTGTAATATAAATTATAAATGCCTTTCCTAGGTATTCCTTGTTTTAACCAATCTTCAAAATGTATCTGCCTGAATAATTGCCTGTCACAGTGTAATCTTCAAAGTTGACGCGTTTTTCAGCTTTAAATGCAAGACTCCGTCCCTGCTACCTCCTGGAGGGTGATGGGGAATAGCAGAAAGCAGGTGTCTTCTGTACCTTGAGCTGATGAACTGCCGCTCAGGGCTAGACAGCTGCTCTGCACATGTAACGGGCAGCGTGGCACTAGACGGCAGTGTGCTTAGTAGCATCGTCAGTGATGGCGAGATAAATTAGGTAAAGCCGTGGAAGCAGATTCCTCATGTGTGTTCACATAAGTGCTTAAGAAATGACCTTGTGTTGGGTCATAGTAAGACCTACGGCCCATTAAGGCAGGAAAATAAAACCTCTATAAAAAACAAGGAGTCAGAGCAAAGTGACCTTTGCTGCCGCACTCCTAGAACACCAAGCAGGATTTTTCCTTCCACTGTGTTTTATCATTTGACTTAAAACTGTGACTTCACTGAGCGGAGGGTAAGAAGTAAAACGTTTTCCCAAGGCCACATTTTAAGTTCTTCCTTGTATGTTTGTGATTCAGAGAATTAAGAATTTGGGAAATAATTTTTATACACTCTAATCACTTTAGGGATACCTTGAATTACCCAAAAGTTGTGTTTGAGATGATATATTTAGACTATTATTTAGTTTCTTTTCCTTACTCAGTTGTTTAGTAATGTACCCGAAAAATTGACCATGTCAAGAAGTTTTTAGTAACTACTGGAGGTTCTACTAATACTATTTTGCAAAAAATGTGATGGTAGAGGGTTTCTAATTGGGCTCAAGTGGTAATCTTGTTAGGATTTAGAATTCTTTTTAAACTTTGACTAAATTTTATGTGTGTAATGCATGAGACCTGAAGAACAATACGACATTCTAGTAATGTCAAATACTATATAATGCTTTACAGCTTAAAAAGAATGTTTATTGCGTTATATTATTTTTATACATAGTTTCCTGAAATAGGCAGGATATGTATTCCCATTTTAGAGAGCAGGGGCTAGGGCTGAGGACAGAACCCAGGGCTCCTTTTTTCTTTTCTGGTGCTGAGGACAGAACTTCCAGCTTGACAGGAAATCGCTGGACTGCTGAGCCAAATCCCACCCCGAGGGCTGAGGAATTGAGACAACACATTTGTGAGTGTTAGAGGCCGTGTTAAAATCAGTACTTGGCTTAACCCAGCGCTCTTTCTCCTGGAGTTCCAGCCCTTACACATTTGGGGATGCTTTTGGCTGGGAGGGAAGGGTATGATCATTATTTTGAAAGAGCAGAGGCAGAACTGTTTGTATGGTTGCCCTTTGTTCAGTCCTCAGATGCACAGCTTGTTCTCCTGCATTCTCTGGGGCCGAATCTGTAATGGTGGATGTCCTGAGAGAACGGCCATGTGTCCCGGCAGTTAGCAGTAGCTTGGTGTGCTTTGGCTGTGTGCTTTCATAACTGTTACATTTTGTGTCCATAATGGTGAGCAAGTTAAATTACATCTATCTCGCTGATCTTCATTTACATGAATATTTACTATGCCCACTTTTTATCTGCCTTCCTCGTTGGGATATCAGAATTAAGTATTATGGTCTCTGTGTCCAAATGAGCCTGTGGTGTGTTCTGTGTCTGATGCCATGTTACCGGCTTCCTAATGCAGGATTGGCTCAGTAAGTGAGGACGCCCTCCTCTTCTCCTTGGAATTTACTAATTGGAAGAGACTTCCACCATCTGCGGAAAAGCTGCTCTCCGCTCGTGCCTTGAACTCCTGGGCTCTACAGCAGTGGATTGGTAAGAAAGGACATCTTTAAACTCCTGTCACTACTCTTCTGTCTTTTATTTCTCCAGCTGTGTTGTAATGCTAATGAAAAGATTTGGAGAGCACAAAACATTGGGCATAATTTGCATTTTCTTATGTGGAGAAAAGGTGGGACTGTAGAAAGAGGGCAGAACTTTTCTTCAGTAACAGTGCATCTGATTTTATGTTTAGTCTAAAGGTCATTAGAGAAAGCTCATATTACTGATATTTTGATTCAGTGATATACATGTGTTTTTAAAATAAGGGTTATGTGGAAAAAGTGGGCTCTAAAGTCTGCTTGTTAGGTAGTTTGTGATCAGAAAAATGCTAAACTTAATTTTGTTTTCTAGAATATATATGGGTATCTGTTCTCTCTGTGCTGTTTAATTAAAAGGTGGGAATTTTGCCATGTTTTAATTTTACCTGTCCTTACTGATTGAGTGCCAGTGAGTTGGTCTGATGGAACTGGAGGTGAGTTGGGTGAGAATTCGGTGCATTGACTAGTATTTACTTTAGAAAGTTTGTTCTAAAACAAACTTTGAACTTCATTTATTAAAAAAATTAGGTTAGCTAACAAAATTAAAGAACAGGCAGTCCAAGATTTTGTGCAAGAAAGCCAATTTAAACTAAATATATGAAAGCATTCCTGTTTACTATTCAGATTGATTTAATTTGACTGTATTTTGTTAACCGGATTATATGTTTTAAGTTAGGAACATTGTTTCTTCACCACTATATTTTACATAAAATGCTACTTTTCATAAGATCATTTGAATAAGTTTTTCACAAGTGAACATATGTATATCTAGAAATGTATCTTTTCGTTTCTTGGCGAATTACATGTCTCATAGATTCTGTTGTTCCGTGACAGACTTTGAAGAAAATAGGTTCTTAACTAGGGTGTAGTCAGACTGCTGGAGAGGTTTCTGTTGAAGAGAAAAGGTAGACAGCTTGGAGCCTGCGTGTTTTCTTACCGAAGTTTTTAGGTGATAATGTTGTAAAACTCCTGTGCATGTAATTCTACATTTTGAGAATCACATCTGGTTTTACTGATCATATATTTGCAGCAGAAGAGAACAAAATATCTATTCAGAGCAGGTAGAATCTGGGACAGTGGATTTGGGAACGAAGAGTCGCAAGAGGGAGCATTTGCCAAGTGGGAAAGTGGCAGCAGCACAGCAGGTGCTGCTGCTGCGTGGGCGTTTGCTGTGAAGACCAAGCACGTGGCAGCCAGGCCAGACGAAGGCGAGACTGTGCCTTCGGAGTGTGTCACCCTGCAGTAAATTCACTCCATCAAGGGCTTCTTGTGTGATTAGGCGTGAGGTGGAGCCTGCATGGGGTGATCACCATCTCGTAAGAGGGTCTGTGCTGGCTGAAGATGTGCACAAGTCTTTCTCATAGGCGTGAGCTCAGCTGACACTTTTCTGGTCTGTGTCCTGAGCCAGGACCTCTTTTCCTAGCTCCAGTTCCATGTAGCCAACTGCATTTTGGATGTCTCCACCTGGTATCTCACCTTTTGACATCACTAAAACTGAACATGTCATTTTCCTAGTAAGTCCTCCTGTTATTTTTGTTTCCTACTTCAGGAGGTGAGATGGCGTGGAGGTGTTACTTCCCAGAAGGGTGCCTGCCTGTGGTCCCAGCTACTCATAGGCCGAGGCATGAGGCAGCAGGCAGCAGGATGGCCGGAGCCTGTGAGCTCCAGACCAGCCTGGACAAGTTAGTGAGTGAGACCTTGCTTCAAGTGAAATAAAACAAAATTGTTAAAAAGTATTTGTCAGCCCTTGGTCACTTGATGCAGAGCGAGTCAAAGTAATTAACTTTTTTTTTTTTTTAAATGTATTTAGTACAGGGCTTACAGGGTCTCACTACACAGATTGGACCTGTAGTAATCCTTCCTGTTTTTGAGGCTCCCATGTGCTGGGATTACAGGCACACACCACCATGCCCAGTCTCAATCAATGTCTCAGTGCACCCGGGGGATGGGGTCGGCACAGCATGCCCTGGATCGAACCCTAGTTGCTGCATCTGCCTGAGCAGGTGCTTTAATCTGCTGAGCTATCTGGCTGGCCCTTGTTATTAGTTGACTTCTTGATGATAGCCATTCTTTCTGGGGCGAGATAGAATCTCAGTGTTGTTTTAATTTGCATTTCTTGAATGATGAGTGATGTTGAGCACTTTTTCATATGTTCATTTGCTGTTTGTATTCTTCGGTGAAGTGTCTGTTCATTTCAGATGCCCATTTTTGGATTGAGTTTTTATATTGGAGCACTCTGATCCTTCCTTCCTTCCTTCCTTCCTTCCTTCCTTCCTTCCTTCCTTCCTTCCTTCTGTTCTTTATATATTCTGTATGCTAGTCCTTTGTCTGAGGAGTAACTGGTGGAACTTTTTCCCCCATTCTGTGGGTTGTCTCTGCTCTACTGGCAGTTTCTTTTGCTACCCAAAAGCTTTTTAACCTCACATGCTTCCCGTTGTTGATTCTTCGTAGTATTTCCTGTGTGATTGTGTTTTGCTCGCAGTTTTGCCTGCACCTCTGTTTTCTGGAGTTTTGCTATCTTAGCACTAACCCTGGGACACTAACTCAGTGTTTCTTTTGGCAGATCACCTGAGCTGCAGAGGGTTTTTCAAACTGAGCAAGAAATAACCCTTTGTTGTATGAAGATACTAGTTGTAGGGGGTTATTTGTTGCCACAGCATAATCTGACCCATAAACAGTTTAACCCATAGCCACATCTTCCAGAATAAGTGACTAAGGAGAGGTCGGTAAAAGTTGTAGTCATAAATAGTATGGTTGGTAATGACTATTAAGATGAGTATGCTGTGTAGCCAATCTGCCTTTTACTTTAAAAGGTGATCTGCAGAGCCAGGTGTCATGGCGTATAGTGCATCCTAGACTGATGAACTAGGAGAGGTTTCCTAGTACAGGAGTGGACCACAGCTCCCTTGAGGGTGGAGCAGAGAATGATGACTGCTATAGCAGAGCCTTGAGTAACCCTCCAGCCACTCAGGAGCCAGAGATGGGAGGATCACTTGAACCCAGGAGTTCAAGACCAGCCTGGGCAACCTAGAAAGGCCTTGTCTCAAAAGAATCAAGTTGCAAACTTTTATTAGAGATAAGGAATGATGACCTTGCCCACACCTACAGGGGAAGTCTGTATGTTACTCTTTCGATGTAGTACAGACTGGCCTTGAGTTCACCATGGAGCCCAAGCTGGCCTCAAACTCACGGTGATTCTGCTGTACCTAGTCCCTACACCTATGCCACCTAGTTATGTATTACTTTTAAAACAGTTATTTAAGATCTTTATTAGCAGATGCTTTCAGTTTGTTATTCTGTTGTTCTGGCACTGGGGATCTCACCGAGGACCTTTGCACTGAGCTGTTACTTCTTCTTGTTTTTAGGCAAGGTCTGCCAAGTTGCCAGTTTTCCACAAGGGCTCAGATTTGTGGTCCGTCTCCTTGAGTCTCCCAGAGCGCTGGAATTACTGGTGTATGCCACCATGCGTGGGCTTGTTAATTTTTTTAGTAAGACCCAAGTTGCCTGAGTCAGAATGGTGGTATGTGCCTGCTGAGCCAGCTTATCGGGTGACAGAGGTGGGAGGATCCCTTGAGCCCTCTGGAGTTGAAGACCAACCTTGTCTCAGAGAGATCAAGTTGTAAATGTCCATTAAAATTGAAAATGAAATTCTTAAAAACTCAAGCTGGCCAGATAAGAGAAACAGATTTTAAGACCTTTAAAAATGGACTAGGAAAAGTCAGGTTTCATAAAACTAAAATAGCTCACTTTTTTTTATTCCCCAAATGAAAGGACTTCAGGCAAATCCTGAAAACCATCCTCTGCGTGGGTAGTGCAGTGTTAGGTGTCTGCGCATCCGGAGGAAAGCGAGCACTCAAGGTCTTCAGCTCCCGCCTTTTCATTTCCTTGGTGGGGCCTCTTATCGCTTCTCACCCTTGCTCGGAAGCCTGGCCAATAACACGGTTGACACATATTTGATGTTGTACCTGTTGTACACCTGAGAGCTGTGAAAGGGTCTTTTTTTTTTTTTTTTTTTTTTTGGCGGAACCTAGGATTGAACTCAGGCCCTTACGCTTGCCAGGCAAGCGCTTATTCTACTGAGCTAACTCCTCGGCCCCAAAAGCGTCATTCTTGACAGTCATGTGCATGCAGCTGACTGGAGAGCCCAAAAGCTCGCAGGGCCGTCGGTCATCACCACTTGGTGCTTTATGCCTGTGCTCACGACACTTCAGCTCACTGCAGGGATGACAAGAGGTGGCTGCAAAACTACTCCAGTGGTCGACAATGCTACAGTTAATGTTGCGCAGCTGTGGATTAATACTGCATCTGTATGTTTGCTTACATTTCTCTGGGCCGATAATGGTGCCATGTATGGCTTGTGAGTGTTTTTGTACCGAAGTGTCTATAAATTTTAATTTTCTGTAATAGATTTGTGCATACATATATCTCATGGTAGTAAATGACAAAATAGTCTTACCTACGTATATTTGGGTAGTCCTTACAAACATAACTTTCTCTTAATTTTGTGGTATTTCTAGGCTATGTCTGCATGTTTTTGAAAATTGCCATAGACTCTCTTCCCCCAAAAAGAAAGAAAATACAATCCATATACATAGAACTGTGCATTTCAAGCCTGTGTTGTTCAAAGGCCAGTTGTGTGTGGAAAGCAGAAACTCTGGCTGTGAGGGAGTGTTGGTTCCAGGGGAGACATTTCGGAGGACAAGGCAGACTTCACGTTTGGTTTAAAAATGAGCAATGCCTTCATTTTCTTTGCGTCTTTGGTATGCCGGGGTTGCTGATTACGTATTGGCCCATTCATGAGAGTTCAGTCTGTTTACCCAGGTTTCCATTTGTTCTCAAGATGATGAAAAGAAGCCATAGTGAGATGCACTTCAAGGGGCTCCTTCTGTGCCGTTCCAGGACGGAAAGAGGAACAGAAGCTTCTTAGAGGCGCTTGGTGAAGGCAGCACCAGAATC